TGTAGGCCTCCCTCCTCCTCATCCTCCTCCTCCTCTTGCACCGGATGAGGCAAACGTATCAGAGCATTTTGTTGAGAAAATGGCCGAGGAGACTCCGGAACAACCTGCATAGCCTCAAATCTACGAATCAAGCTGGACCATCCACCGACACATACTTATCCCATTTGGAGGCATTGGGTCGGCAGAATGCCCAAATTTTGGAGCAAAATGCACTCATCTCTCCCGCCTCGACCGAGAGAAGGAAGCTCGACGCTACATCATCAAATGCAACCATCACATCATGAGGTACTTGAGGATTGACTACAAAAATTTCCCCCGACCTTGAGAACTCTCTCCTAAGCCAACCGAGGAAAGAAAATGAAGAGAACAATGGCACCAATAAGGAAGAGGGTAGTGAAGAGGATGACGAGGGCAATGACGATGAGTCAACCAAAAAAAGCAATGATGAGGACAATGTAACTGACGAGGAAGAGGGCAGTGGCACTGGCGAGGGCAATGAAGATGAGCCAACCGAGGAAAGCAATGAAGAGGACAAGGGCACCGACAAGGAAAAGGGCAATATAGAGGATGACGAGGGCACTGACGAGGAATAGGGCCAATGAAGATGAGCCAACCAAAAAAACTTATTGAACTATTTAGTCCTTAGTACTTAGCTATGTGTGTTTGCTTGTGTGCTTGTATTTTCAATAAGAATATTATGATGCATCGGTGTGGACTACAGGCAACTAAACTCAAGCATTAATTAGACAGACTTTATCGTGTTATTGATGGTTGTTGAATCAGACAGATGTAATGTTTTGACTGCTTTAACTTTTGTTTGCAGGGTATTTCATCTTATATGATGTAGTGCTAGCTCTGTTCCTACTTAAGTCATGACAAAATTACTAAGATTTAGCAAGCAACATGTACATAAAATTTGCTTCAAGTTAATTTCAATTTTCAAGAATTTTATGTGATGGTCAATATTTGTTTCCAATTAATTTTAGTTTTTTTTATTGCTACTAATTTATAAACTATACAACTAGTTTAATTTCATGTAGGCAAAATCTCATTTTCTTTATATTAGGGTGCCTTATTATGTGCCATATTCCTATGATTTTTGACATGTGTTTGTCCAAAATATGATGTATCATCCATAAACACAAAGATTAACAATGTTTCTCTGGCTTGTACCATTATTACTCCAAGTTGTACCACAAGTCCGAATGTACAACCAGAACTTGTACCTATACGCTATGATACAACTATAAGTGGTACCTACACTTTCCAATGAATCCCTCTATCGTACAACCGAAACTTGTATCAATACGCTATGAAACAACGATAATTTGTACCCACACTTTCAAAATCCCCAGTAGTACAACCCAAAATTGTACCTATACTATATTCGACAACTATAAGTAGTACCTATACTTATACCTATACGTTATAGTACATGTTTAAGTTGTACCTACACTTTATAGAGTTGTACCTATAAGCTATGAAATAACTTTAAATTGTACCTATACTTTCCCAAAAATTCTTCAATGATACAACTCACAAACTTGTACCTATACAATGGTACAACTTTAAGTTGTACCTACACTTTTTATCAAATCCCTTTATGGTACAACTCCAAATTGTATCTATGCTTTATGGTACAACTTTAAGTTGTACCAACACTTTCTAACAAATCCTTCTATGATACAACTCAAAGTTGTACTTATACTTTATGGTACAACTTTAAGTTGTTCCAACACTATCTAACAAATCCTTCTATGGTCTAACCAAAACTTGTACCTATACCAATGTTGTCGGAACCGAACCAGTGTATCAACCGGTATAGTAAGCGGTTCACACTTTATTGGTTTAACCGGTACTAAGCCTTTATAAACTGGTTAATAAACCGATGTCTAATAAATAAAATATTATAAGATACCATTAATAGTGTTATAATTATATATTGATTCTAATATGCTTTTAACAAATAATTTATAGGAAAGGTAAAGATTATCATTTTACAGAAATATAAATTACTTAAGTATAATGTATGTGATTTTGCAAAAGTTAAGAACACTATTTAATTAGATTATTTCAAAACTAAACATTAAGTGATAGATTTATACTAAGATTGGTAGGTTTTACTACACAAATTAGTGATAGCACTATTGGTTTAAGCGCCAAATTTGTCATCACGAGGTACTGGGTTTGAATCCCAGCTCCCCCATATGTGACTATTTTTTTTTCCCTTAAGAATCTGGCAATTAGGATTCTACCCGGTAGAACCGATCAAGCCGTTCAAATAGCTCGTCCGGTTAACCGGTCGGTTGATGAATAAACTGTTTGTTTCATCGATTGCGGTGAATAGACTAGTCGGAGCGGATTGGAGGCCGGGTCCCAGTTTCACCAGTCGGACCGACCGATCCGGTCCAATTTTAACAACACTGACCTATACGTTTAAGTTGTACCTATACTTTCTAACAAATCCTTCTATGGTATAACCAAAGCATGTACCTATACGTTATGGTACAAGTTTAATTTGTACCTACAGTTTCTAGAGTTGTACGTACACTTTCCCAAAAATCCCTCAATGGTACAACCCAAACGTGTACCTATACGATGCTGCAACTTTATGTTGTACCTACACTTTCTAACAAATTCATCTATGGTACAACTCAAAATTGTATTTATATTTTATGGTACAACTTTAAGTTGTATCTAACTTTTCTAACAAATCCTTATATGTTATAACCAAAACTTGCACCTATTCGTTATGGTACAAGTGTAAGTTGTACCTATACTTTCCAAAAAATCTTTCTATGATATAACAAAAACTTGTACCTACACTTTCTAGAGTTGTACCTACACACTATGGTACAACTTAAAGTTGTACCTACACTTTCTAAAAAATCTCTCTATGTTACAACCCAAACTTGTACATTTACGTCATGATACAACTATAAGTTATACCTACACTTTCCATCAAACCCATCTATGGTACAACCCAAACTTGTACCTTCACGTTATGGTACAACTTAAAGTTGTACCTAAACTTTCAAAAAAATCTCTCATTGGTACAACCTAAAATTGTACCTACACGCTATGTACAACTTTGAGTTGTACCTACACTTTTTGGAACAAATTACTCAATGATACAACCCAAACTTGTACATATACAATATGATACAACTGTAATTTGTACCTACACTTTCAATTATTGATTCATTATTTACAAGATTGCCATTAATGATGTGGGACAGGTCACTTAGTGGGTTTACCTCCCCAACATGTAACCTTTTCTATTTGTTTTATAGCATGAGTGCTATAAAGCACACTAGAAGGGCTCATTCAAGAGATACAAAGTTTACCATGTGACTAATTTATTGTTCGATGGACCGAGAACCGGAAAGATTAAGTTCCAAAAAACAAACAATAATGAAGAAAGGAAAATTATCGAATTTTTGTATTTTCTTTTCATTTTTTTAGGGCTATACGGGCTCGAACCGTAGACCTTCTCGGTAAAACAGCTCAAACTGTTTCAAAGACCCAACATGCATTTTTTTTGCATTGGGCTCTTTCATTAACTGATAAAAATAATCAGTTAGTCTGCCAAAATTCTCTTTTCAGAAAGATAAGAAATGGCTCCACGTGCTCTTATTTTTTATTTGAAAAAATTGGAATTCCAATAAAAAAGAAGAGCATTACCAAAGTTTTTCAAAGAAGGGTTATCCTGACGTAGGTCTGCTTTTGCCTTAGATCAACCTAAGTTTAACTAAGTTAAACTTAAAAGGAATCTCTATCGCCCTGCTAAAGAATCAAATATGAAACTTCATACACCTTAAAGTTCATAGGCTAGTACGAAAAGAGAGTTTTTTTTTGAGGTTCGTAAACTCATTAGGCCTAGCATTGAATAGATTGGGTATTTATTTACCTTATCAATATTTTAAATCAATGATGCGTTCTATTGGACGCCCAAAAGGACACCTAAAATTGACCGAACTTTTTGTCAGGCTATTGTTCTCTTGTTTCTTAAAAGTGATGGAGTAAGACAGCGACTTCTCAATAAGTCTTTTGATTAAATGATGTACTCCTCCGAAAAAATCATTGGCGCGTGTGTAAACGAGGTGCTCTACCTAACTGAGCTATAGCCCTTGTGCTTGTGATACACATTTTATCATGTGACTAATTTATTGTCAAGATGAATATTAGATGATCTTCTACCTTATTTCTTTGATTTGTTTGATCGGTATTGCTTCGAAAAGATATCCGATTTATAATCCATTGATGCGAGGGGTTCGTTTTCTTTCTCTTTTTTCTTTGTGTTGATAAATGACCTACTTAACTCAGTGGTTAGAGTATTGCTTTCATACGGCGGGAGTCATTGGTTCAAATCCAATAGTAGGTAGAACTTATTACATATCAAAATCTATGGTATCTAAGAAGTTTTTTTACCACCCTATTTATTATTATTCTTTTTTTATTAACTTTTTTTGATTCCATTCTATTTATTTTTTAATTTCATAAGTGGAAAATCAGATTCCACTTCTAATTCTATTGTCCGAATAATCAAAAGACCTTCAGGTCTTTTGATTATTCGGGCGCGCCAAAAACTTAGAATTCTAATTAGGAAATCACATTGATAGCCTCTACTCGTGCCCTAGCTCGTCTGAGAGCTAGATTTGCCTCAATTATTTGTCTCTTGCCTTCAGCTTTCCTCAAGTTAGCTTCTGCTATTTCAAGAGTTTGCTGAGCTTCTTGTGGATCAATGTCACTACTTTTCTCCGCATCATTTACTAAAACAGTAATCTCATTATTGCCAATTCTAGCAAAACCACCCATCAGAGCCATCGTTAACCATTGGTCGCTAAGGCGTATTCTCAAAATACCGATATCGACGGCTGTGGCAGTCGGGGCATGATTTAGTAATACGCCAATTTGTCCACTATTAGTAGATAAAATGATTTCTTTCACTTCTGAATCCCAAACAATTCGATTTGGGGTCAATACACAAAGATTTAAGGTCATTTCTTCAAGTTGTTCTCCATTTCTAAGTTCGTAGCCTTCGCAGTAGCTTCATCAATATTACCTACCAAATAAAAGGCCTGCTCAGGAAGACTATCTAATTCTCCGGAAAGGATCAATTTAAACCCTCTTATAGTTTCTGCTAGACCGACATATTTTCCCGGAGAACCCGTAAATACTTCTGCTACGAAAAAGGGTTGTGATAAGAAACGCTCAATTTTTCGTGCTCTTGCTACAGTTAAGCGATCCTCTTCGGATAATTCGTCCAACCCCAGGATGGCTATAATGTCCTGGAGTTCTTTGTAACGTTGTAAAGTTTGCTTAACTCTTTGTGCAGTTTCATAATGGTCCTCACCGACGATCTGAGGTTGGAGCATAGTGGACGTTGAATCTAAAGGATCCACTGCAGGATAGATCCCTTTAGCGGCTAATCCTCTTGATAGTACAGTAGTAGCGTCTAAATGTGCAAATGTCGTGGCAGGAGCAGGGTCAGTCAAATCGTCTGCAGGTACATAAACCGCTTGAATGGAAGTTATCGACCCCTCTTTGGTAGAAGTAATTCTTTCTTGTAAAGTACCCATTTCGGTACTAAGGGTGGGTTGATAACCCACAGCGGAAGGCATTCTCCCCAATAGAGCGGATACTTCGGATCCGGCTTGGACGAAACGGAAGATATTGTCAATAAATAGAAGTACATCTTGCTCATTAACATCTCGGAAATATTCTGCCATGGTTAGTGCAGTCAATCCAACTCTCATACGAGCTCCCGGCGGTTCGTTCATCTGACCATAGACTAGAGCTACTTTGGATTCTGCAATATTGTCTTCATTAATTACACCGGATTCTTTCATTTCCATGTAAAGATCATTTCCTTCACGAGTACGTTCGCCTACTCCGCCAAAGACGGATACACCCCCATGAGCTTTCGCAATGTTGTTGATTAATTCCATAATTAGTACTGTTTTACCTACCCCAGCTCCCCCGAACAATCCGATTTTTCCACCACGACGATAAGGGGCTAAAAGATCTACTACTTTAATTCCTGTTTCAAAAATAGATAATTTTGTATCTAACTGTATAAAGGCGGGCGCAGCTCTATGAATAGGGGATGTTGTGCAAGTATCTACCGGACCTAAATTATCAATAGGTTCTCCAAGCACGTTGAAAATTCGTCCTAGAGTTGCTCCGCCGACAGGAACACTTAGGGCAGTTCCCGTGTCAATCACTTCCATTCCTCTCATTAAACCATCTGTAGCACTCATAGCTACAGCCCGAACTCGATTATTTCCTAATAATTGTTGTACTTCACAAGTCACATTAATTTCTTGACCGGCGGGGTCTTGACCCTTAACTAGGAGAGCATTGTAAATATTAGGCATCTTCCCCGGGGGAAAAGCTACATCTAGTACCGGGCCGATGATTTGAGCGATACGTCCCGGGGTTGCTTTCTCAACTGCGGAACCCCCAGGACCGGAAGTAGTAGGATTGATTCTCATAATAATAAAGAAAATAATAATAAATAAAATAATTATGTCAATTTTTTTTTTCGAAAATTTTTGAGTCCAAAATATATTAATGCTCTAAGCAAATTGATCGATTAATTCAAAAAGAAATGCGAGTTAGTCTTCGATTTCGTTGAGACCATCACGCGAATCCAATTCGATTGTTTACTTTTATTTTCAATTTCAATGAGTCAATTTAACTTGAAAATTGACTCATTTTAAAAATATCAAGTAGATGAATAAAAAGGCTTCTTGAAACCTTTCATTTTCTATCATTCTAGACAATATTATCTATATTATATATGAAATTCGAACTTGAACTCTATTTACGATTTATTATTTGGGACCTTTCTGCAGATCGATTTCCACCTAGCTATTATGCTATTATTGTATTAATATTATATTAATATTATTTAGTTCTATTTTGATTTTTTCAGAGACGAATTCGGTATATTTTCACATCTAGGATTTAGATATATAACATACATATATTACTATCAAGAGGAAATTTCTGATTATTTAGTCGATTCAAATAAAGATTAGAAACTTGAAAAAACAAAGATTGGGTTGCGCTATACATATGAAAAAGTATACAATAATGATGTATTTGGTGAATCAAATACCATGGTTTAATAACGAAATTCTGATTAGTTGATAATATTGTTTGATAACTTCGTGAAAAAAGATTCTTCTGAAAGGTTTCGTTAACTCCTAATTCATGTCGAGTAGACCTTGTTACTGTGAGAATTCTTAATTCATGAGTTGTAGGGAGGGACTTATGTCACCACAAACAGAGACTAAATCAAGTGTTGGATTCCAGGCTGGTGTTAAAGATTATAAATTAACTTATTATACTCCTGACTATGAAACCAAAGATACTAAAATACTATCTCAAATGATTAATGATAACCCGAATCTCTATTTCTTTTTTTCGATTTTCTATTTCTAGAGAAAAAAAGAGTTTTGGATCGATTCCAATTGAAGAAAGAATCGAATATTAATTGATCAAATAATTTACTCCAAAGTCTGATAGATAACGAATTAATCGGACGAGAATAAAGATAGAGTCCTATTCTACATGTCAGTATTGACAACAAGGAAATTTATAGTAAGAGGAAAATCCGTCGACTTTAGAAATCGTGAGGGTTCAAGTCCCTCTATCCCCAAATCCAAAAAAGGCTCGTTCGACTCCCGAATTATTTATATCCTATTCTCTCTTTTCGTTAACGGTTTAAAATTCCTTATCTTTCTCATTCATTGAATTCTTTTACAAAAGTATTTGGGGTGAATTTTCTTTCTTTTCACAAGTTAAGTCTTGTAATAGATATGTATACATACAAATGAACAACTTTTATTTGAGCAAAACTCGAGACTCCCGGAAATTGTAAGGATTAACAATCAAAATCATTATTCGGATTGAAACTTAAAAAGTCATTTTTTAAGGATATAAAACGTCTCTAACATTTGGAAAAACTTTGAAATGTTTTTTTGACCTTTTTTTAATCGACATAGACCCAATCCATTTAGTAAAGTGAGGAAGTCGGCTGGTCGAAAATGGCAGGGATAGCTCAGCTGGTTGAGCAGAGGACTGAAAATCCTCGTGTCACCAGTTCAAATCTGGTTCCTGGCACATGATATGATAAATTTATGTATGACTATCTATTTGAAACTTAATTAAATTACTATATTGAATGATATACATATTCAATAACATACATATTCATTTATAGTATAAATTCTCATACTCACTAGGTGTCTGAAAATATAGCTTTTTTTAATTCAATGAATAACGAATTTATGTTATAAAGTATATAAAAAAGTCGATTCTGTTTCCTCTTGTTTTTTATTTGTTCATAATGTGCCTCCGCTCGGTCAAAACGAAGGTTAATACTTCATTTTGGAAGGTTTAATTAGTTGGCTCAAAGATATAAATTGTTAGTGTATGGAAATTTGACGGATGAGAATATCCAAGATTCATTTTGGATACAGCACAAATAGAATCCGATCCTCTTTCCCTTCGTTCTATTTTCTTTCATATTCTATTTCTGGATTCCTTCCTATGCGATGTAACTTTATATAGCTCCTTTAAAGGATATGCGCAGTACAAAGTTCACGAGGCAAAATTCCTTTAATTTCATCATATTAACTAGACTCGTACGAACTAAATAGCGTTATATCTTTAAAATTAGATAATCCATCCAAGAACTCCCTAATTCTTATCTTTTTTTGTTTTTTAGTCCTTTCTTTCGATATTCCATAATAAATTCAATAATAGGAATGAAATTTCAACCACTCTGTTGATCTAGAATAGATAAGAGAACGTACAAATATTCCTTGAATATTAGTAGTTCTAGTACTAAAAATTAGTTTCTTATTATTGAATTTCAATGAGCATCTTGTATTTCATAAAAATTGGGGGCAATATAATCCTTACGTAAAGGCCACCCTATCCAGCTTTCCGGCATTAAGATACGTTTCAGACGTGGATGCTTATCATAAGAGATTCCCAACATATCATAAGATTCCCTTTCTTGAAAATCCGCGCTTTTCCAAACCCAGAACAGATGGAATACTTTTATACACACTTCTTCTGGTTGATCTATACCATACTCTATTCTCGTAAGGCACATTGAGAACGCATATAATTGTAACCATATACATATAAAATGACAGCAATGGAATGACAATCCTCAGGCTTTATTTGTGAAGTCTCTATTCCTTGGTAATCAAAGCCCAAAATTCTATGAACTAGTCCATGTTTGACCAACCAACCAAACAAAGGACCTTGCATCTTTTTTCTCTCTCTCGCATTTTTTTGTATAAGTATTTCTCATTTATTATACGATGAAATTTCTGAAGATTGACTTGATTCTGTACAAAAGAATCCTTCCTCGAATTTACTAAACTAATTCATGGGACGATATGGACCTTTTGTATTTGAAAATTTTTTCAGGGGGGGTTCCTGAGATAGACGATAGTTGATTGAGTAATTCTTGATCATAATTTCCAGTATGAGTAGTGCGGCCAATATGAAATTTGTGATTGGTAGTAAAACATTGATTCCCCTGTTGAGGCTTAATTTGATCTTCATAAATTTCGCGAGATAGTTTTTTTATGAAGTTTGTTGTAGCATCTATAACGTCCTCGGGTTTAGGGGGCGACCAGGCAAATATAAATCTACACGAATTAGTTTATCGACTCCTCGAACAGTACTAGAAGAATCCGTGCTGAACATTCCCCCGGTAATTGTACATGCTCCCATAGCAATAACATATTTTGGTTCAGGCATTTATTCATATAATCTCACTAACGAAGGAGCCATTTTCATGGTTCCTGTGTCGGCTGTTAAAATCAGGTCTGCATGTCTAGGACTAGATCTTGGTACTAGTCCGTAACAATCAAAGTCAAATTGTGAGCCTATTAATGAAGCAACATCTGGTACCATAGAGAAGTGGCCATAAACTGGAGAGTCTTGACCAAGAGCTCTACCGAACAAAGAAGCAAGGGGATGTTTTAGAAACTTGCATGAGTTAAATCTAACTTTGCTAAGGAAGCAAGTCTGGAATCTAGATCAACGGACATGTATAATTTTTGAAGCCAAATACTAGCCACCAGGGATGTATTCGAGGCTGAGGAAGGTTATGCTCCAAGTTATGTGTGAAGAATCTATTGGCTGCAAGAGATACTATGAAGAAAGGGTTGAGGTGGAAGATTGAGAACATTAATAAGATTGATATATGGATTGACAAATCGATTTCTAGTGCAAAGAACTTCAAGATTCAATCTCCTATTTCTCCACTGGGTGCTACCACCTTAGTGAATGAACTACTGAACAAAGAAACTAGAACTTGGAATCAAGGCTTACCTGTAGACTCATTTCAATACCCAGGACAAATAAAAAATTCTCAAGATTTCTATTGATAGACAACTGTGTCAAGACAGAAGGATTTGGAGCCTAGAGATATCTAGAAGCTACTCAGTGAAGAGAGCAGAACGAAGCATAATTGGGTGAGTTGTACACCCTAATAAATTAGGAACTAATATGGGGACTAAATTTCCCCCCCCCCCCCCCCCCCCCCCCAAATGAAGGTCTTTGCATGGAAATGGATTAAGAATAATGCTTCCCTACGGACGCCAACATTGTTCACAAAATCCATAAGGGATGCAATGAGTGGATAAGAAGGATATGGTAACTTAGTGTTTCAGTTTCTCTGTTTAATAAAGGTTATGAACATACATATGAAGAGTAGATGGTGACATTGCAAGAATTTGAGCCCGATGAGAAGATTAGGATATTCCTGGTGTCGATCTGGTTTATATTGGAAGAGCAAAACTGTCAGTTGTGGAACAAGAAAAAGAGAGAAAATGGGAAATTATAGCTAGAGCGGAGAGTCGGCTACACGATTACCTGGCCTATCATCTGGTTGCTTCAGCGACATCGACAAAGACTCAGTACATTTGGAAGCCTCCGGGGTCGACGACTTCAACATAATTGTCCACAGGGCAGTAATTGATGGGCAAGGGACTGGATTTGGAGTGGTGGTAAGTAGTAAAGATCATATGTTCCAATTGACTGCAGTTTAGTGAACCAGGACACAGTGGACGCCTCTAATGGCTGAAATTTTGGCAACTTGGTATGGCTTAGAGGTGGTGGAACTTTGTCTTTCTTTCAGCAGAGGTGGAGACTAATTCTCATACAAGTGCATGTTACCTCACGAATGTAGGAAATGACAATGATCGTGGCGGGCAACATATGTAACGAGATTAGAGACATTAACCAGCGTCTAGGCTCAATTCTTTCTCATTTTGGGGTCGGGTAAGCAATGAGGCCGTCCACATCATGGCCCACACAATTTTTAATTGGCATGAACTAGAATTTTAGATAGATAGACTCCCTATCTTTTTAGTTTCTCAATTTCTCTTATTGGACTCCTTTAATATTTCAGTCGGCTAAATAAAATAATACATGTTATTTATTAAAAGAATCTCTATTCATACAAATAAAAAACAAGTAGACAAGTGAAAGTGAAACCAGGGAAAAACCCCAAAATACACATATAATTATAAAAATTTCTCAAAACACATAAGTTATAAAAATTCCCCAATCTATACATGTTTGACATTCACTGCCTTTGTCCAACGCAGGCCATTCCCCGCGTTCAACAAAATCGGTGAAATTATCACCTTTCTATCCCCGCTTGAGAAAACCGTGGTGAAGTGTTCCCCGCCTTTGTAAAAACAGTCAAATAATCACCGCCTTTGTAGAAACAGGGAACACTTCACCGTTGTCGTCCAAAGCGGTGAATCCTTCATCGCGCTAGGTTACGACGGTGAACAATTTCCACATTTCCCACCCCTGGTAGGTGAATAATTAGGTCACAACCACCTAACCTTCACCGCCTAAGGGCATGGTCGGGTGACAAACTCATACATTAGGATCAATTATGAAGACGGTGAATCCACTATGTTGAAAATTGAGTCGAGATTCACGTGGCAAGAACTCTGTGGCATTTGTGCAGACATGATTTGTATGGACGGACATACGAGAATTGGTAAAATTATCTACCGGTATCTAGACATGAGTGTTGGTGGGGTTATGTACAAAATCTTTCTCATAAACGATGATGACGTGGTTACCATAATGTTACAGTTCCTAGGCAACAACGGGATGCGGCTTGCAGAGATGTATGTTGAGATCGAGGCAGTCGGTGAAACTCATTCTCACCAATATTCTTATGATGATGGTTTTGTAGGAGGGTACGGATGGGGTGGTAGTTCAAGCAACTACGGAGGAGGTATTTTTGCAGGAGGGGTGCCATGGGAAGAATAACCGCAACGAGCTGAACCTGCCCCATTTGTTGAATCCGATGGAGTTCAATGGCCTACTTGGGGCCCATAGTGGGCTGACATTGAGAACACCATTCGATTTGGGCGTACTTCGTAGGAGCGAGAATACGATGTTGGTGATGGTGGTCACGATAATCCTTCTGGCCCGAGCTATCCATTCAACTCCAGCGATGAGGAAAGTGAGGAAAATTTGAGATCAGTGAGCGAGGAGGAAGATAATGATGATACAGACGACAATGTGGCGTTTTGTGAGCCACCAACGCCATACTACACAAAAGTTCCATCTCAATTTTTGTTGTACCAAATTGCACTCGAGCAATGTGTTTCTTTCTCGGATAAATACTTTGTATCTCTTGGCCCATAATTGATATACAATCGAGGATCGTATATCTCGGCACCCAACTATATAAAAATTTGAATGAAATCAAAATAGTTCAATTACAAAAAATAAATCACAAAAAGATTACCAAGAACATACTCGAAGAGCTGTACAGAGATTCGACGGGTTTTTAGAGGGGAGGGCTTTAGGATATAACTCTAGGAATTCTTTCTGGTGTGGAAGATCAGACTTAGCCGCAACCACAGAGCATATTTAGAACGAAACTAGAGTGGAGGAATGGAGGGAGAAAGAAGAGTAGTGTGGTGGTGTGATTTGGAATAGGGGAGAAGGGTGGTATTTATAGGGGAAGGGCATTCCCCGCATTTGTCAACGACAGTGAATGCCGCGCGTTCGTCCACGTCAGCGATCCGTGTCCCTCAACCCTTTACCGCAGCCGTCCGATGCGGTGAATTATTTCCTGCTGTAAACGAACACGGTGAATTCTTCCCCGTGTTTTATTAAAACGGTGATGCATTCACCGTTTTTGTTTAAAGTGGTGATTGCTTCACCGTTGTTGTATTTGGCGGTGATTATATTTACTGTATTAGACGACGACGATGAATGTCAAACATGTATACTTTTGAATTTTTTTTATAACTTACGTATTTTGAAAAAAATTAACAACTACTGTATTTTGAGATTTTTTCTGAAATCAGAGCCTAAAGCAACAACTATATTATCATTAGTATTTCTGGTGGAAAGCCTGCCTCTATCAAGTATCAACAACCAAATTGAGCTTACGTTAAAAAATAATTTTATTTTGTTTCGTTTAAGTACTAAAATTATTGAAAATAAAGGAAGAAACCATATTTTCATTCCAAGATCAAAGAAGCATGGGCGTATTTCTGGAAAAAAATCCCACTGTACACACGTTCTTAAAAAAAATTCTCAAAATACATAAGTTATAAAAAAAATTTCCCAAAATACACATGTTTGACATTCACCGTTTTTGACAAACGTAGTGAAGAATATCACCGCGTTTGACAAAGACGGTGAATAGTTCACCGTTTAAAATAAAAACGGTGACGTATTCACCGTCTAAGTCTAAAACGGTGATATATTCACCGCGTTTGATAAGAACGGTGATTATATCACCGTTTTAGTTAAAAACGGTGAACACATTCACCGTTTTAGGGTAACACGGTGATCTTTTCCCACGTTTCCCACCCCTGGTAGGTCAAAATTAGGTCACAGCTACCTATTATTCGCCGTTTGAAACAGACGCGGTGATGGTGTTCACCGTGTTCGACAAAAACGGTGAATAGTAGGTAGATTTTCTTATAAATACCACACCACCAGCAGTTGTAAAAACATAACCACTCCCCCTTCTTCAAATTTCAGCAACCAAAACCGAGCATAATACACAGAACATGAATTATCGGTATGTTGAGACTTTTCGTATTATAGTCTAATGATGTTTTTAGTAGTTATAGTATGATTTAATTTTCGTATTATAGCCTAATGATGTTTTTAGTAGTTATATTGTTATGTTATGAATTACTTATCGTAGCAAATATGTTTTGTTAGTTAGGGAATTTATTTTGTTGTTAGTTAGTTGAATTTATGTTACGTTAGTTATGAGATGGATAATATTATTTGTACAATATGGTTGTGGTTAATTTTACTGTCTTTAAGCTAATAGATACTTATTGTAAATTATAGATATGGGTAAATTCAAGAAGTTTCGGCTTATTATTTGGTGGAATGGAAGGGTGACAAACTCTGACATAGGCATTGATTATGAGGACGGCGAATCCACTATGCTGAAAATTGAGTCGCGATTCAATTTTCAAGAACTCTGTGATATTTGTGCAGACAGGGTTTGTACGAGCGGACAGACGAGACTTGGCAAAATTACTTACCGGTATCCAGACATGAGTGCTGGCGGGGTCGTGTACCAAGAAGTTGTCATAAACGATGATGACGCGATTATGATGATGTTACAGTTCCTAAGCAATAACCAAGTCCGGCTTGCAGAGGTGTATGTTGAGACTGAGGCGGTCGGTGAATCTCATTCTCACCAGTATTCTTATGAGTATGGTTTTGCAGGAGGGTACGGATGG